TGTGTTGAAGATGCTCCTTATTAATAATTCAACAAAATTCAGCAACAGTAGCATGAAGCTAATTAGCTTAGGCTGCAGTTATTATCAAGCTATTAGCTGAGATAACAAACAAGTTATCATTTAACGAGTCTATCAAGAAATATAGAATTATTAATAGGGAGCATCCAGAAGTTACCTTTTAATTAATCTTACAGAGAAGGTAAATTATCAATATTATCTGCATTTATTTTTAGACAAAAAATTTCAAGATACATAAAAATTTGATGTGAGCTTCGAACTGCTGGCAAATTGTGTGCATAGTCTTAATGCACCTTTGGGATAACAAAGAGTACAACAAAGACTGACCCAGCAACGTGGGTCTGATTCCCAGAAGGCCCTCCGTGGAATTTGTATTTTGGCATCATCAACAAATTAGGAGTAAAAGTGACAAGATTCATGAGAGAGGTTTTCAAAGGCATCTTACTTTCTTGATTTCAGGTGGGACTTGTATACTTACCTCCCCCTTGCTCCTTCAAAAATCTTTCTGTTATCCTCTATCAGTTAGGTCCTACAATTAGGCATCAAAGTATTATTATTATTATTATTATTATTATTATTATTATTATTAGTGTTATCTGGTAACCTAAAAAATACAATCATTAAGCATATTCCCCCCTTAATTATCCTAAATTTACAATCTTTAAGATCACTAGATAGATCCCCATCACTTTATGGCAGAAAAAAAGTAATTGGTCTCAGAGTTAATGGTCCTGCATCCTCCTACACTGCAAATACATTATGAGTAAGAAGGTGAAGTAACTATTTCCAATTCTACTAGGAACTTATTTTCTTGTAAGACAAGGAAGGGTGGAGGAATCTTTCCTTTCTCCAGAAAGCCAACACAAAATTCTGACCCATCATTAGAGACGGTATGAGGAAAGGGAGTTTATTTTTCCTTTGCTGGCTGCATGCAGGCTGGGTAGAAACTTGTTATTTGTTACTGCTATAAACTGTAATATATTTGTTTTTAAAATAATAGGAGCTCTGCTATTATTGGTTGCATTTAGAATCATCATATTTACTATTGTTGCAGAGAGTCCTAGCATTGGCTCTCTACTATATCTGTACTGTACAGTGCTTGAAGCATTCAGCCATCCTGCAGACCCCTAAGAACCCCCACGGACCCCTGCAGACCTCTACAGACCCCTACGAACCCCTACAGATCCCTACAACCCCCTACAGACCCCTGCAGACCCTGCAATAACAGAAATAGCCAGTGGAGTGTTAATTATTTAGTAGTGGTCTGGAACTCTTCATTCCTTCCGGATTTCAATAATGGGTTAGTAAGGAGAGAGCTTGTTCTCTAGACTGGAGGTGGCCTAAACTCTTTTGCAAATGGCAGTATTTAAACTGACAAGGTGAGATTGACATTTGCAGTACTTCTTCAGATGAAAGATCTAGAAGTAATGAAGATGGGTTCGCTTCTCCAAAGTGGATTGTAGCAACTTAACATTTTATCTTTCAGGAAGGCATCAAAACGGTGCTCTGTTATTCTTATTTTAATAATAAGAATAGCTTTACTACGGCCCCTGACATTAATGGAGTGAGGATTTTGTTCACTTTCTTTTTAATAGCTTTTTAAAATAAAATTGTAAACTTCAAAACTGGAAGATGACGTTAAAAATACAACTTTTGTATTCCAGGCTTTCCATAAATCTTTAGTAAACAGAAAAACAAGGCCCTATCTCTAAAAATACTCAGTAGTATCATCTCACAAGAAAAAACGACAAAGAAAACTAGAATGGTATTATCTGCACACAACTATAATTTCACACATGCTTTATAATTAAACAGATATGAAATCCTGACCTACTTTAATTTCTGAAAGGTACTCTACTATGTTGCACAATATCATTTCCATAACTTCCTGACTGAACCACGAAACACGCCCTTCTTCTTTGCTTTTTCTCTGAATAATAATAATTTCAAAATTATTATTCCACTTTCTCTCATATTTTCTCACTTTTAGTCTATATCCTCCTTTTATTATTCTTCTGCATTATAACCAAAGTTAACGTCACTACTTACACAAAAGGGCATCCAAAAATAGAGGTAGTTTATAAGGGAAACACAGGGAAAGACAGGTAAACATGTAGTTTATTACTGAAATACTATCTTGAGCTGAATAAATATGCTGAAATATAATCTATGTTGTATTATTAAAATCTGGCTATGAAAACACTGATTCCTAGTTTGTTACACCAATTTCATTATGCAAATGTCATTCTTTGGTCTCAAGTAATAAACATTTATCAAGTTGTTTCATCACTTGCTATGTCTTACCTATCTATATTAACACCACAAAAAAAGTCCTAAGACAAAATATAACCCCCTTGAACAAAAAAAATTCTCCAAGCCTCCTAATTAACAAGAACAGAAAAAAATCCCCCCAAGCCCCTCCAAAAACTCTTCCACATACTCAGCCAAAGAAACTCTTCTGAATCATATCCCTCACTCTGAAATTAGATTTCCTCAATTCCTAGTATGTTAATAAAACATTAAATCTTTTCTCCCCCCTCAAAGTTCTGCAACCAAAAGTAATTTATCAGCTTCCCCAAAGTAATATTATTTTCCCATTACTGCTATTTTACCACAGTGCCCCAGATTCAGAGAACTAGAATTATCAAAAGAATGACTTATTAGTATTTAAATATCTTATGTAAAATATAAGACATGAACGATAGTTTATACGACAATGAAAAGGATATTAAAAAATAGCAAGATACTGCCTATGATTTTAATCTTATATTTTCTCCAAAATAATTAGCTCCAGTTACAATTTGGTCCTCAATTGTCTCTTCATTTGCAGACTTTGATAACACTATTTTAAAGGAAAGGCAAGCTCACGTGTGCTAATGTGAGTTATATTTCAAAATATTTACATCAGTCTTTAGGCTAAAATGCCTAAAGAGACAAAAGGAGACCATGGCAAGCTTTCAAAATGCTGCTGTAGTTTACAACATCTTTGGGAAATTTTGTCTGGTACAGAGTATGGGAAGTTGATGGAGAGCCTACGAGTCCCCTAACAACTTTTGAGGGTGCATAGGAAGCCACAGAAATCAGTGGTTCAGCAACAATAATTGGGATTTAATATCATTTGTACAATCACACAAATAATATGCATAATTAAAAAGCGTACTTTGCTTTTTGATTGTTCAATGTGCCTTTCATGGCTTGATGACGTCCATTCTCAAAAAGGAGTCTACAGTTTAGTAACAGATGGAGAACAGATTAAAAAAGCCCTGAGAAGGACTTGGGGGTGTTGGTGGATAAGAAGCTCAACATGAGCCGGCAATGTGCGCTCACAGTCCAGAAAGCCAACCACATCCTGGGCTGCATCAAAAGAAGCATGGCCAATAGGGTTGAGGGAGGTGACTCTGCCCCTCTACTCCGCTCTAATCTGACCCCACCTGGAGTACTGGGCCCAGCTCTGGAGTCCTCAGCACATGAAGGCCATGGACCTGCTGGAGTGGGTCCAGAGGAGCGCCATGAAGATCACAGAATCACATCATTGTCCAAGTTGGAAGGGACCTTTAAGATCATCTAGCCCAACCATCAACCTAATTCTGACCAAAAAAAAATAAATCACTAAACCATGTCACTAAGCATTATGGCAACCTGTCCTTTAAGTACCTCCAAGGATGGTGCCTCAACCACTTCCCTGGGCAGCCCATTCCAATGCTTAATAACCCTTTCAGTGGAAACGTTTTTCCTAATATTCAATCCAATCCAAACTTCTCCTGGCATAACTTGAGGCCATTTCCTCTTGTCCTATCACCTGTGACCTGGGAGAAGAGACCAACCCTCACCTCTCTACCCTCCTTTCAGGTAGTTGTAGAGAGCCATAAGGTCTCCCCTCAGCCTCCTTTTCTCCAGGCTGAACAACCCCAGCTCCCTCAACCTCTCCTCCTAAGACTTATTCTCCAGACCCCTCACCAGCTTTGTTGCCCTTCTCTGGACCCGCTCCAGCACCTCAATGTCTTTTTTGTAGTAAGGGACCCAAAACTGGACACAGCCCTCGAGGTGGTGCCTCACCAGTGCCCAGTACAGGGGGAAAGATCATCAGAGTGCTGGAGTACCTTGCCTCTCTCCTGAGAGAGTTGGGGTTGTTCAGCCTGGAGAAAGCTCCAAGGAGACCTTTTGCACCCTTCCAGTACCTGAAGGGGGCCTACAAGAAAGCTGGAGAGGGACTTTTTACAAGGGCATGTAGTGATAGGACGAGGGGTAATAGCTTCTGAAAGAGAGTAGATTTAGGTGAGGTATTAGGAAGAAGTTCTTTACTGTGAGGGTGATGAGACACTGGAACAGGGTGCCCAGAGAAGCTGTGGCTGCCCCATCCCTGGAGGGGTTCAAGGCCAGGCTCGATGGGCCTTTGAGCAACCTGGTCTGGTGGCAGATGTCCATGTCCAGGGGAGGGCGTTGGAATTAAATGATCTTTAAGGTCCCTTCCAACCCAAACCATTCTGTGATTCCATGATTTGCTACATACTTCTGGGATGAGCATCAAACCAGTACCGAGCCCAAAAACCAGAAAACTGGCTGCACTGCAGCTGGCCGAAACCCCCGAGCTACACAATCACGAGACTCCCGGAGCTGGCCACTTCGGAAAACTACCAGCGAGCCTCAAAATTAGTTGATCTGGTCTCCGAATAGCCTATTAAAATACAACAGAGAGCAACCAGAGAACCAGAGCCACCGCTCCCCTCACAGCCTGCGCCCGCCAAAATGGGGGGGAGCTTTGCGCGTGCGCACGGAGCCAGCCTGCCCCCTTCACCCCCTCCGCCCCGGTTCCCGGCAGGGCAGGGGGCAAGGGGCGGGAAGAGGGCGGGTGAGACGGCTCCACGGTCCCCGCCAGCGCGGCCCCGGGAGGGAAGGAGGAAGGGAGGGAGGGCAGTATATCAGCTGACCGTGTCCCGTGACGGCCCCGGGCTTGACGGCGACTGCGCCGAGAGGGCGGTCTTGCTGCTGGAACTAAGATGGCGGCCTCCAGCGCCAGACTCTGAGGGAGTTGGAGTGGTGTTAGCGGCTGCCCGCCCGCCCGGCCAGCTGGAGGGGTGAGGGCTCCGCTCAGCGGCCCTTCGCCTTTATCGCCGGCAGCGGCGGGAAGCGCAGTGCTGGTGGGGGCAAGGGTCCGGGCAGCGCAGGCTCCCCGGCCAGGTAAATCCCGGCGGCGGCGGGGGTGAGGAGGAAGAGGAGGAGGTGGAGGTGGCGACGACGACCCCCGCCTCATTCCACATCCCCGAGGCCGTGTGGGTGTGTGAGGGAGCGGGGGCAGGGCTTAGGCAGCGCTCTCTGCCGCCGGGGGGGCAGATGGTTCCGCCGGCGCAGCCTCCCCCCGCCTTGCCCCAGCCCTGGAGGGGTGAGAGGCATCGGGGCGGAGAGCGGCCGGGCCCTGCGGCCCTGGGCCCCGGGTGCGGTACCTGTTTCATTACAAGCCCTTCTCAAGGCTTTCTCTTCCTGTATCTCCCAGCAGAGGGGAGGCTGGGCTTTTCTCCAGCCTCAGCCTGCCTGGGTGCTTGGCTGAGTGTGCCCTGCACCTGGTGCAGCTTTTGTAGCCCTGGGCAGGAGCTGCACTCTTTCCCGAAGATGTGTCCATTAAGAAAAGATGTGTTATTTCTTTCCGCCTGGCCTCGGGTCAAAATATATAGCCGTCATGAGATGCTTTGGGAAATAATTTATGAAGAGGGGGAGAGATGAGGAGGAGACTTGCTCTCGCAGGGATGAGGTTTTAGTTCTTTTTTGAGTGGTAATGGTGTGCCTGACGAGCATGAGCAGAACTAAATGTATCCTTCAGAAAATCTACCCTTAATGTGCTTATTTTTCCAAGAGGGTTTTAATTTCTCCCGTGGATGCGTTTCACTTGCTTTTTGTTTTTCTGAAAGTCAAAACAAATAGGCATACTGCTTCGGCTTTCTGTCTGCGGTGAGCAACCGATAGACTTTGGGATGGATTTTCCTGTCAGGTGGTGTGCAGCTTGCACCTTGATAGCTGTGTTTCCACCGAGCACCAGTTTGGGGGAGGAAGGGTTTATTTTCAGCTCAGAGCTCTCAAGCTGAAAGAATGTTTGAGCATGCTGCTTGGGGGGAAAGATAGCCATATAAGTTTATTTGGAGTTTTTCCTGTTAATGCACTTATTCTCTGCTGTGTGGCTGGTTTTGAAGTTAATGTAAGCTGAAGTGTATTTTTCCTTTTTCTCTTGTGCTCATTCACAGAGAAGATCTATGGCAGTGAGTTGGAGAAGATGAAGTCGAGTAGATAACTGCTTTGATTCCTGTTACTCAGCACTAATTAAATAATACTGTATTTCAGAAAATATTCCTTGTTTTATTTGACTTACTCCTTAAGTTCTTTGAAGTCTAAGCCTTTTCTTGATAGTTGTCTACGTAGGCTACTTGCGTGTAGTGAGATACATAGAAAAGGAGGAAGGCTGTCGAAGGGGCTGCTGGTGACTTAAGTTCCATCTCTGAATTGAGTTAGGAAGATGCTGTTCAAACAGTCTGCCGTGGCGTGAGTCAAAATAACAGTACCAGTGTTATAGATGTAAAAGCTATGCTTGGCTCTAGCCTGCTTCAGTTTATAGATACATATCTTGGTCTAATTCCAGCCAAGTGCCAGAACACTTAACCAAAAATTACTGTTTTCCGTCATTACTGACTGATCTTGGTCTAATTCCAGCCAAGTGCCAGAACACTTAACCAAAAATTACTGTTTTCCATCATTACTGACAGTTTGTTTTTTTTTTTTCCACTTACAACACATTTCTAAGTGTTTGGAGACTCAGAGCTGAGTATCTGTCCCTGTGTAGTAGACTTTCCAGGAACTTTACATTGTATTCTAGCCTTGCTGGAATAAGTTTCTAAAAAGATTTATTTCATATGTATTTCTTGCCCCGCTGGGTGTCATGTGGTATTTTTCATAGTTTCCAAACATGTATTTGTCCCGAGGGACTGAATCACTGTACTTCCAGATTTTAAACAGTATGCTGGGGATTGGTTTTCAGGTCAATCTGTGTTTCAGATTGAGCATGTGGCTTTTAACTTGTGTTTGAAGCTCAGTAAGTGAAGTTTAGTGACTTAATAATTCTTCAGCTGATACTCAACTGTATCTTGAAGTGTTAACCTTCAACTGTTTAGCCTCTCATTAAAATTAGAAAAAAACCTGTTCTCATGCCAAAAAAAACCCTTAACAATTATACTACCTTACTACTAAAACTGAAAATAGAACAATATTCTGAAGAAATATGACAGGATGGCTAAACTATGAAACTGACTGAAAAGAGCACTGGTCCTCAGTGAGGGAATGAGAGCAGTCAGCTGGAGAGTGGATGCTAATGTTGTCACATCACTTCTGGTAGTAGTGAGGTTGCAGTTCTCAGTCTGTTTGCATCCTGGACTATGGAAGGTGGCAATGCTGCTGTCACTCAGGCTGGTTGCACTAATCCTCTGTTAAGGGTCTGGTGGGTCTCATCTCTTTCTCCTCTTACAAAAAGGGCTCCACAACAGAATAAGAAATCTCTGTTTCTGCAGCTAATTAGGCTGTAGTACTTTAAGAGCAGAGTACTGTTTAGGGTAGAGGAAAAAGTTTAGAGTTTGTTAAAAAGAATTTGTCTGAAGGCAAAACTGTCAGGTATTGCACACAGCAGTAAAAGAGGCAGATGATACCTAGGCAGCTAAAACAGTGCAGAAAAACTCATTTATGTAAATAATGCCTTCAAAGCTATGGATGAGTAGATGACTGTAAATCAGGCTGCAGACCTTTAAACTAAAAGGCAGGTATGTAGAACTACAGTTTAAGAGAACCTGGGGTGGTGTGTTACCTTGCTCTCATTTCTTTCTAATTGGTCCCTGTTTTTATCCTCTTGGTATGTCTTCTCTCTCTCAGAATAGTCTGATGTGAGTGTCTGCCCCACTGTAATACAGACTTTCCAGGAACTTTACCTTGTATTTTAGCCTTGCTGGAATAAATTTTTAAAAAGAAATCTCAGTTTCCTATCAGCATTCTTCTTCCTTCTCCCACTAAGAAATCTCAGTTTATCAGCATTTTTTTCTTCCTCCCCCCAATGGAATAGAGTAATAATCCGGTTTGGGGTTCTGAAGTGCATAGATTAACCTTCACTTAAGAAAGATACGGAAGCTTTGTGGTAGCAAAGGAGCAATATGATCAGGAAGAACGTAAATCTGAATTCTGCACTAAACTTTGAACCCGTGTCCAAACTTTATTTAAACTGAGAGATACTTACATGTAATTACAGCTATGCTTATTGCTTTGATGCCTGCAAGGTCACATCTTTGCTTCTAACTCTTCAAGTGTTAGTTTGAGACTGACTTGTCTGTTTCCTGAAATAGATTGTTTTCCCAGATGGTAACCTTGTCTGAAGAATGTGAAATCCTGGAAAAGTGGAAAGTGTATGCAAGTTGAACACGGTTTAAGTAGTGTACCTGTTCATGTAGTTTAAACTCTGAGGTGGGGGGAGTCCTGGCAGCAGTTCAGGTTCTTTAATTCTAGAGATTGCTATTTCTAATAAATGCAGCAGATGCAAATCTGGTTTCAACTCCTCCCCCAAAAGCTGTTTTATTGCAACTTACAGTACTACGAGAACCAAATAGGAAAATATCGCTGAACCTCTGTCTTGTGAAAAAGCTAATTAAAATACCCAGGTATTGGGGGAGTGCTTTAGTTAAGCTCCCAAAAGAAGTTGCAAGTCATGGACAATATTTTTGCCTTGAGGAACCTCAGATTATTTGAAGACTTTTACTCCATTTTTGTGTCAATCAGTCAACTTTTTAGAAGTATGTTGAATACAGGAAGAAGAGGTAAAAGTGGCAATAATAAGGTTTTCTTGCTTTGGGAAATTAATGTGATATGACTAGGCAGGCTGTTCTACCTTATACTGGCAATATGGCTAAACTTGATTAATAAAAACCCTTGATGTGCTTCGCAAAGTCCATGTTTATAGTATCTCAGGTACTAAAATTACAATGTATCCCATTGTAGGTAGTGTAGTAGGAGTGATGTCACACAGGTTCTGCAAGAATGAGTGAAGGAAGGTAACTTCTGGTTTGTTTGGGGTTTTTTGCTTTTTTTTTTTTTTTAAAACATCTTTGCCATGGACCATTTTTTTTTCATCTTGCTCTTACTGTGGAGCCAAAGACAAGTGAAAAATGATTACTGGATTTCAACATAGCAGCTCAGAACACTAGCCTACTGTTAGCCTTGTTCTCTGTTAAACTGCAGGAAAATGTGTACAAGAATTAATTGTTACTAGATTTTGGCATATATTGCCTCTGTGCTAGACTTCTCAGTGGGAGAGATATTTACAATCACCTTCCAGAAGAGCAGTAAGTAAAGCATCAAAGCTTAGTGATTTTAATAATCTAAACAAACAAACAAAAAAAGCAGTCTTGTGGATTTCAGTTCCACTGCATGTATGGTACTTCATGTATCAGTATCCTGAATCTAGTTAGATGCTGGTATTAAAATTAATGGAAGCCACTGGTAACTCATAAGTATTTCTGTGAGTATTTCTCAGTTCTGTGTTATTAAGTCTGGATGTTTGCAACTGTGAGAACATCTTGCTTTAAATACTGTAGAGCAGGTGGTATTCAGGTCTGGGAGACTTAATAGAGCTGGTCAGAGTAATCTCTTGTTGTCAAAATTGGAGTTACAGATAAATAGATCTTATAATCCTATACTTAGTGGAGCTTGTCTTGTTATAAGCCTTTTATTTTTACTAATACGTTAGTCAATGTCAAGAAAATGGCTTTAAAAGGAAGGTATGAAGACTGAGTACTTTTTTCTGAAGGATAACTTTCAAACACAAAATTATCAGATCTAAAGTGTGCTACTATACAGTAAGATATGTGTAGTTTGAACAGAGTCCACTGTTTTGATACTGATCCATGGCAATAATAATATAACATAGTTCTTAAACAGGGAAAAATGGAGATTGCCAGGAATAATGCTGTTGAGTGTCTTACCCCTCACAAAACTTTGCTTTTAAAAACTGGATTTAGAGAATTTGACTTGCTGCAAGAAAATGGGGTTTTAACTCTGAAAATTTGACTCAAAGATTGAATCATTGAAATATGTAATTACTCCTTTTCCAGAGGCGGTACCACAAGTTCTCTTCAGTAGGTAGTGATGATTGTGCTGGCTCTTCACCTGAGGGAAGGAATTCTCAAGTTCATTTCAGTCAGGCTATCCATTCTTCACGTTCATGACTACATAACTGCAACAGTCTTTGCTCAGAAAGAAAATAGCCTGAAGTTGTAGAGGGTAGAAATTAGCAATGAGCTAATGTTACAAGTCAACCGTGTCAGAATGAGAAATCTTCCTTTGCCAAATCAAGTAGAGTTAGCTGAGCCTAAAAAGATGAGTGGGATTGTTGTCTAACTTTTAGTGAGGTACTGACTGGGATGGGATTATTTCAGTGTTGGTTCATGCAAGCTATGATTATGAATTCTTGCAGACTGTCTTTGTAAGTGTGTAATGTTTTGGTGATGCCACCACATTAATGGTGTGAAACTGAGTAGTACCAGTCTCTCATCAAGAACAGGGAAGCTTGCTTTGACACATTTCAAAATAAAACTAATGCTGTAGTGGCAACTAATGCTGAGAGTGACGACTTCGCTCTTGCAACGAATGCTATAGCAGTAAAATGAGAGTAACAACTTCACTTTTGCAGCTTAATTAGGGTACATCCACTTAAATGCCTTGTATCTGTAATAACAGCAAAGTGTAGTAAAAGGGAAGTTAATTTCCCAAGTACTCAACGTACATCAGTTTCAATCATGCAAGATAGTGATCAGTGTTGAGAAGCATTCCTTAGAACACAGCAGTTCCTAAAGCTTCAGCCAAGCAGTTGTGGGTGTTTCTCTAAATTCCTGCACATGTTTAGGGAATAGGTATTCGTGTGTGAAATAAGCACATCAGGATGTTAGTGGTGGGATTGCTTAAACTTTTACAGTGCAGAAAGGGTACTTAGTCAGCTCTTTACTTGCAATGCTTGGCTAATAAGTAAGTTTCTCAACTTCAAATTCCATTTCAGACTGGCAAATAAGCTGTTCTATCTGTCCAGATTTCTCCATGCTGCTGTGTTTTTGTTTGTGTGTTTGTTTGGTTTTTTTATGGCAATAAGAATTATGCTTTGCTAGAATTATGGATGCAGGGTACTTGAATCATTTTGATGTTACAGAATTTTTCAGGAGTTACACGTTCTGGTGATGACATGAAATACCCTTGAATCTGAATGTGTGAAGGCGCAGCAAAAGTAGTGTGATCTGTAATAATATGGCAAATAATAGGGCATAAATCACTGTATCCTGGTACTGTTAAGGAGAAACTGATGTAACAAAATTAGTGGGCAAGCTCTTCATGTTCAACATCATGGGCAACTTAGTCCATTAATTGTTTGATAAACATAAGTATTCCTAATATTTTTTTTGTGTGTGGAATTGACAAAGCGAGTTGAGTATTAAAAACAAAGTATTTTTGTTTGAAGCATATTGATGATTAGCGTACTCTGGTTTTAAATGAAAATTGTGAATACTAACAGGATGTCTCTTTTGTTTTCAGGTCTTGGCACAGAATGAATGTAATTAGAGAAAACAGAGATCTTGCTTGTTTCTACACAACAAAACATTCATGGAGGGGAAAGTAAGTAGTTTAAAGTTCGTTTGGTTTTTTTTGTTTTGTGTGACATTTCTCGTTTCCATTATTGGATGTAAGTGCATAGATGTATTGCTAGATGAAAATTGAACTAAAGGCTCCTGCTGTGCAATCTCTGAACTGAATGTATCTTCCCTAGAATCAATTTGGATTTTAAACATTGTGTCTTAGCCTTCCTGTGCACCTGTTCCCACACTCAGGTCCCTCTGAAACAAACCACCTGACTGACTTGGCTTCTGAGTCTCTTGAACTTACTATATAGAGCACTAATTTTAAAGTGGAAGTATTTCTCAGATCAGGTTCTTGGAGGAGTAATGTCTTATATACCTTAAGAGATGAGGGTCACTAGTAGACACATATAGTTAACATGTTGTGTAGTAGATTGTCTGTTAAACTGCTAATTGAGGCTATTTGAAGACTTCCATTGCTAGAAACACACTTCTTCCCTAATGGGGGTCTTGGGTGTAAAAATTAATTTTCTGTGATGCTTCTGTCTGCAAAAGCTAGAGAACTTCTAATAAAACCATCCATTAAATTATCCTAACTGGTATCTGTTATACTGTGTTTGAAGTCAATTGTTGTGCATACTTTTTGAAGCTTCATAGGACTTCTTTGGTATCCTTGCCTCTTGTTTGTTCTTTCTCACGTGCATAGTAGTGCTGTGGAGCTGAAATTTTTTCCTTGGTACCTAAACATCAGCAGAACAAAGAAGATATGTTGCCTGCACCTCAGGAGCAAGAGTATTGCATTATTCTAATGATTATACAGAGCAGTGATGTCTTAATGGTCAAACAGATTCAGTTGAAACTGGCTGCTTTTTTGCCTGTCTGCTGATAGATACTTCACAAATTCTTCCTATTAGAGGTTAAGAACGCTGTGAAGGAAAGGAAGATTGGATTGCAAGTAGTGGCAGCCACAGATCTTTCTCAGTTGTGCTTTGAAGAACTATGAGATTCCTTCGGTGTCTAATCAAAGAACTTCCTGCCTTTGTCAGCATAAATTAAAGCCTTGGGTAGGTCAGAGTCCGGAGTGGACTGAGCAGCTGTCTGAGGGCAAAATCTTTCTTTTACCAAGACAGATTCTTGATTGACTTGAAACAGACAGTTTAATATTTAGTCTTACCTCATTCTACCTGATAGTTGTGTAAATTGAGTTTTACCTGAGTTAAGGTTCCAGGCATTTGGATTTGTGTGGGCATGGGTGAATGAGCGGTTTCCTTCAGTAATCATAAGATACTGTGTTGGAATAGAACACTAGAACAGTTTGTTCCTCTTAATCTTTCTGTCCCCCAACAGAAGATATCTAATCTTTTCCTCTGAAGTTCCTGTGGCATATCTGCAAATTTGGTGTGCATACAGTTTGAGCCACTTGATGACAATAAAATGCATAGAACTCAGATTGCTTCTCTTGCCCAATGCCTTCCATTATAGAGCTTGTTCCAACATCATGCAAGCTGTTGAAGTTAGAGCAGTATGATCTTGAACTTTGATGGTAGCATTCTGATTAACTATGCAGTCTTAGGGAACTTCAAACTAAGTCTAAAGTCTAAAAGAGGCTTAGTTTAAAAACTCAATGGCACTTCACTTTTCACATAATGAAGGGGAAAGGAGTATTGAGTGAGTAGTTGCCTTGTTATGTTGTAGCAGAAGCTTATATGGCTTTTAGTAAGGTTATATTTGAGTACTTAAGTCCACTCGGTTCATAGTTATACCTTCTCAGTATAATCTATGGATAACATTAAAAAAACAACCACGCCAAACAGTAATTTAATATTCAGTGCTAAATGAGCCTGAATCACTTCTACTATTCATATGATTTGTCATGTTGCTGAATATGAGCTCTGTGCTCAGTTAAACTATTTTCTAGTAGTACAGGTGATGTTCCAGTGTTGACCTGTAATTCTGTAAAATTGACGAAGACTGTCTTTCTCTTGAGTATGGTGGTATGAAAATTGTCTACCAGGTTCATCCTGATTTAAATAAAAAATAAAATAAATGTCACTTCTGAATTCTACATTGCTTCTAAGAAACCAGAGGACATGTGCTTCAAATTCTTCTTCGCAAAACAGCTTGGCATTAAACTGTACTGCTGAGTAGTTTTGACAGATAATTAATGGTAAAGTCTCCAAGGCCTAGAGGTATAAATACCTTTCTGCATATTTAACGGTGAAATTCTGGGTGAGCGTGTATTTAGGCTGCGTGTACGAACTGACTTCAGAGCCTCCTCTGTTCATGTAACAAGACTTGAATCTTCTGAATTTGCTGGGGAGAGGAGATGAAGGAAATGGTAACTCGGCAAATCTGCTGTTCTGTCTTGTGTTCCTTGTCACATCACACATTAAAAATGCTGGATAATAAATAAGCTTCCTAGATCTTGAAATGCTGGCTTGAGCATGAGGGGAGAAGAGAAAAGGGGCTATAACGTTTGGAAGCTGGTCTTCAATTATGTGTGGCAGATCCATAGTCTGCCACAAAGCACTGTGGTGGCATGTCACTTCAATATTACAGATTTTTCTAAGCTTTGAACAAAATAAGCACTTGCTTTAATTTTTAGATGAACTCCTCTGGGTTGGACTTGCACCAGTTCGTTTGAATAATAATGGAAGGTGGTAGGCAATGAAGTTTTTGAGGTTGTCAGATAGTTTTGGCCTTGCTATTACGAGAGGCAAGTTAAGTAACGTGAGGGAGCAGCTCTGAATGTATCTGAAGCCCATGCAGTGTTTGTCCTTACACAGAAACGATGGCTTAGACTGCAGATCTGGCAGGTGAGAGAGAAGGGACTGCACCACAAGAGTGCAGAGAAAGACAGGGGGAAAACAACCCGCTTACTGATGCAGTGTCTAGCATGGCACAGGTGCAGATAGATAGCTGTCAAGTTGATCCTATCCTGTTCTTTCCCTAGCAAACCCATGGTTTACTCAGAACTGGAACTTAAACTGTTACACTGAATTAGTTTTGAGATGGACAGCTAGCCAAAGTATTTTGATTTGATTCAAGTTCAGATCCTGTTTCTTTGGTCAGAGAATAGTTCCTAGAACTGACTCTGGTTCAGGTTTGGCTTGACTTTCTGGGCAGGACTGTTTCCAGACAGAAGTACTCTAGAATAAGAAGCTTCTATAAGTAGTAGGAGATTAGTAATACTCTGTCTTAAACTCTGGTTAGTTATATTGCAGAGCTTTCTGATTGGAAAATATGTGAACAGTCTATATATAAAGAGCTGGTTCTGGGTATGCTGTGAGGATTGTCTAGGAAATGAAACCATGGTAAGGCTTCCATTTTGCACTTGATGCATCTAAATTTCTTAGCTTTAGGTCACTGCCACTTGTTTCTGATAAGCCCGAAATGCAAGCAGCTACCTTGCTGCAGCTGTTGTTTAAGTGCTGTGGCAGTTAACATGTTGGTGATGACAATATGCAATGGCTAGCTGTGTATTGAACTGTAGCTTCAGTGGTCTGAGTCATTCTGAGTTTAGTAGAATTAGTTTTCCTCAGGGTGAAGAAAATTAGGCTTGGCCATAGTAACACTTTGACTTGTTACAGTTTTGTGACCAGGCGTGTGAGTTGAGTGATTTCATGCTACTACTCTTTTCTGAGATACCCTAAAGCATCTGTCTGCAGCTATTGCAGGAATATCTTTTTTTCCTATCTGTCTGCTCTCTTTCGCACTTATTCTGGTCTGGTTCCTTCCAGTGCAAGTTCCAAGAGTCTTTGGTCTTTACTTAGCCAATAACATAGGGAAAGATAGGCATAAAGAAATAAATTTAGTAGTATTTAACTTGTATCCCTTTTCTGGATATGTAGAACAAAGGAGCTTAACATACTGTAAGGATAAACTGCAAACTAACCACTTTAAGAAAACTCCCTATCCCTTTCCCGACACTGACTTGTATATAGCTTTTTAACATAGCTTTTACTGTTTAACAGAAGTTTTCTGTGATTCTGGAGAAGCTAATATTCTTCTGTGTTCCAGGTATAAGCGAGTCTTTTCAGTTGGAACCCATGCCATCACCACATACAATCCCAACACGCTAGAAGTTACAAATCAGGTAACTGTCATTTTTGAACTGGGCTATTTTGAGTTGATTTCTCACTTATGCTCAGCGTGCAGAGTGAATAGTGGCATTGTCTTCAGAAACCATCTAGTCTGACAAGATCTCAGTAAAACCAGAAGGTAGGGCAGCTGCTACAAAAGCACACGTAACAGAAAGTTGGTGTTGCCTTCACTAACTCTACAAATTCCCAGTAGATTTTGTTCTTTTAGGCAATTTGTTTTTATTGGCCAATAAGTAGTAATTAGCTTTTGGGTGTGCTATTCTGAATGAACTGGGATAAGTTTGATCACTGTGAGGCTATATCCCAAAAGGGAGACAGGACATGTATTTACATTGCAGAGTATCAAATAGGAAGCTGAAGCTGTCACGTAGCATTGTCTCATTACAACTTGCTTAGTTATTGTAGGTACTAAGAGTTTTTGAGGAGAGATGGTGTAGCTTTAAAATTACTAACAGTATAACCTAATTACTTTTCAATTATCTAGTGGCCTTATGGAGATATCTGTAGTATTTCTCCTGTTGGAAAAGGACAAGGAACAGAATTTAGTCTCACTTTTCGCAAAGGGAGTGGAAAAAAGTCTGAAACACTTAAGTTTTCCACAGAGCACAGAACAGAACTCCTTACAGAGGCACTGGTAAGATTATTTTTCCTTTAATCAAGCAGTAAGTACTTGGTTATCATTACCTTTTGTGATAGCTATTATGCTTTCTTTCCTTATGTGAAAAGTATGAAAGCAAGTTGTCTTTTGAGCTGTTACATTAATGTACTTGATCTAGTGTCAGTTGCAGCAACTAGTGCAAGATTCTTAAATAGCAAGTAAAGCTAAAAGTACTGAATACATTAAACTGCAGTGGACTGGTGAGTCTTCAAGAAGGCTTAGCTCAAGTCCCTTAAAACAGGGTCAGCTTAAATGTAGGCTTTCTGAATAAATTGGCTGTCATATTTGCATTCATTCACGGTTGACTTTTTTACAAACAGAGATTCAGGACAGACTTCTCAGAAGGAAAAATCACAGGACGGGTAAGTGCCTGGCTTGTCTGGATCATGTACAGTTTAATGACACGATGTAGAGATTTAAACTTCTACTGTGTATTGTTGTGCTTCTACTATCTGCGCTACCTAAAATAGCTTTAGTGAATTTGGATCTGAAGTCTTGCTTTGAGAGGAGAAAATTAGGAGTTTGTTCAAAAGCAATGGGAACCTTTTCAACAGGAAAATATTTGAGTTCTTTTCACTTGGCCTGAGCCTTGTGGTAGTATGCTCAGACTGCTGAAATAAAGGGTTCTGCCACAGGGAGTGCTTATTTGGGAGAAGTAAGAAGAAAACATAAGCTTTCATTCATTATTCAATGTTTACTACTTCTACCTTGTTACTTTTTAACTCTAAGTAGTTTTCTGCATATCTTCCTGAATACTTGATGTGGGAATATTTTCTGGGAAGGTTTCTGTAGGTCAGTGTAGAGACAAGATTGCCATTTAATGAATCTTGGTAATACAGTAATGAGCAAGGCAATATACAGAGCTGGGCTTTGTATTTGGTTTTAAGTCTTCTGGTCACAGAAGATAGCACTTAAAGTAACTTTAGGCATTGCATAGAATAAATCTTCAGTGATGAGCATATTAAGAGTGCTGGACTATGAGAGTCCCTTTTTGTCTTACTGTAGTTTAGAACAGATCTCTAACTCTTGCTGATCTCACTAAGTCTATTTGTAATGGAATATGACTGCAGGAGCTGGAGAAAAAAATTGCACTATAGTGATAAGTTTACCTTAATTTAGTCTTGATTAGCTGGATAACAACATCTGATGCAATAGCTATTTCTGTGTATAACCTCAGTGCGCATAGTCTGTGTGTAGGCCACCTTCTGCAGCAAGAGAAACTTATTCCCTTTTTGGGTGGCTGTTTTGGGTTTGCTGCTCTCTCTTCAAAATGCATAGTTTAAGCTGTGCATTCCTTGTCAGTTGACAGCTACTTTCATTTGATTCATAGTGCTCTTAACCTAGATAAGAGCATTAAGGGAGATGATACAATTTTTTTGAACTTTACACCCATGCTGCTTACTACTAGGAAAAGAACAACTGCTGTGCAGTGAAGGAGTGTGTGTGTATATGTCTAAAATAGCTCTCTCTGCAGAGGTATAACTGCTATAAACATCACTGGAGTGATACGAGGAAATCTGTGGTTCTGGAGGTGACTCCTGGAGGTATTGACCAAATCGATCCTGCAACAAATAAAGTCCTGTGCTCCTATGACTACAGAAACATTGAAGGCTTTGTTGATATTACTGGTTATCAGGGAGGCTTCTGTATCCTCTATGGAGGATTTAGTAGATTGGTGAGTACTAAAACAAAACATATTGGTATGGTGCTTGGGATGTTTATATTAATATTTAATAATGAAGCTTCAACATAATTTGAGCATACAAGTATGTGCATCTTTAGAACCCAGCTGCTGAGCCTCAAAGCATGTGGACAGGTTTTAAAACCTCTTTTCCACAGGAAATTAATCAAAACATTTGAGAGCAATGTGTGAAGTTTTTTGCCTATTGCTGTTTAAAAACTACACAGTGTAAAATACCCAGTTATTTATATTTGGATAGTGAACATGAATGCAATGTGGACATGGAACTTCTTGATGTTTCTCAAAGTTACAAAAGTGATAGGCAGTACTGCTAATCTACCGACCTGATGGAGGATTTCTATTCAGAAGTAGATCGATCAGTGGTGATGCTTCCTTTTTAGCCCTGCGATCTGATACGCAGCATTCTCACTTGGGAAATACTGCAGTATAACGTTGGTGTCAGAATCTTAAAAGGGTTTCTGTGTGCTATACTGGAGGCAGCTGAAATGGATCTTGAGGAATTGATTCATGGTTAATAATGTAAACATAGTTGCCTCAGTCACTACCAACAAAATAGGACTCTGCTTTCTAGGTGAGGGTTTCCATGTCTCTTGTACTGCAGCATGCTTTTCTCTGGCATAAAACTAGCAATATATGATTGATCCTCTGTAGCTGCCCTAACCTTGCCTGGCAAGGCTGGATGGCAGCCTTTACAGATAGCAGCTGGGGCTACCACTGGTTCTCCGGCTCCTCACTCCTGCCAGGCTGTCAGGATCTGTTTCCAAGGGTGGACAGGCAGGTCATGCAGACCTTTATTTTAGTGGCACGCTAATGTGTAGCAGGGTATCCTTTAGGAATAGCTGCTATAGATTTTTTTCCCTTCTTGAAAGGGAGATGTAAACTTAATAGTGGATCTCTTGTGTAATAAATACCTCTTCTGTTTTCACTGTGCACTTAGCAAAGGCCAGCCTCGTTGCTGGAAAGATTCTCTACTGTTGGGTGGAGGATTATTGATGGAACTGTGATTTCTTGAGCTATGTCCTAATCTTCACCTGTTTGTTTTGGTTTTTTTCTTTTCAAAACTTGCAGCACCTGTTTGCATCTGAGCAGAGGGAGGAAATTATCAAAAGTGCAATAGAACATGCTGGCAATTTCATAGGTATCTCCCTGCGGATAAGGAAAGAATCCCTAGAATTCGAGCAATACTTGAATCTTCGCTTTGGAAAATACAGCAATGATGAATCTGTAACATCTTTAGCAGAGTTTGTTGTTCAAAAAATAACACCTAGACACTTGGTAAGGGTATCAGACTCTGAACTTACTTGGTTCCTCTGAAGTGCCAAGAATTCTTTTCCCTAATGTGCTTTTTTGTTTGTGGTTGTGTTTGTTTTTTTCTTTTCAAGGAACCTGTGAAAAGAGTACTTGCTCTTACAGAAGCTTGCTTAGTTGAGCGGGATCCAGCTACTTATAACATTGCAACTTTGAAACCTTTAGGAGAGGTAAGAGCAATCTTTCTCAGTATCACTTCTTCAATTAGAAGCTTTAAAAGGTAATAGTAGGAATTTGATAGTATACATAAGATGGCCTCAATTTGTAGAGCAGATAAATAACACTGCTTCATGAATGTGATCCTTATCTCTTATTTTTAGGTATTTGCAATAGTATGTGACTGTGAAAACCCTCAGCTTTTTACCATAGAATTTATCAAAGGACAGATTCGGAAGTACTCTTCAACAGAAAGGTAACTGGAGCTCCTGTGAGCTACAAATTCAAATGGAAGTTGCCATTGTAGTGCTTCTAGTCTCTCAGTTTCCATAAACTCTGACCCTTGACAGTGTTAACTTGAAGTGGTCTACCACTTACAAATCAAGTTTTGTTACAGGATTTAAATCTCTCCCCTTTTACCTTCATACCAAGTTTCAGCAAATCTGTCCTGAAGCTTTCTGGTGAACATGTAAGGATGTTGGACAGTTAGATACAGCCTGTTTCTCATAAGGGAGTTTCAGCAAATCTGTCCTGAAGCTTTCTGATGAACATGTAGGGGATTTGGACAGTTAGATATGCCTGTTTCTCATAAGGACTCTCCCCTTTTACCTTCATACCAAGTTTCAGCAAATCTGTCCTGAAGCTTTCTGGTGAACATGTAAGGATGTTGGACAGTTAGATACAGCCTGTTTCTCATAAGGGATGTTGCTCTGTTTATGTTGTACTTGGTTAAGCAGTGTATCTGAGAGAAGGAAAGAAAGCACAGTTTAAGTGATATGGAAACATGAAGTGGCTGTAAACCCTTTGAGCTGTCTGCTTGAGATGGACTTAGTTGATTCTATTTAAAACAACCAACAGCATAGTCCCCGAGTGCACTCGCAGTTGTAATGCAGTCTAATCCTGCTAAGTGAGGTTTTGCATAAAGCGCAGGGGTGAATTGGCTCACAACATGTGTAACTCATTAACAGATAATCTAGAGTTGATCCCTTCAGTGAAAGGCTGCAGCTGGTTATGCTGGGGGTGAGACAGCTCTGTTCTTACAGTGAATAAAGAAACACTTGAAAGTTAGTGACCTCCTCCAGAGATGTAGCTGTTAACATCAGTGCTAGTAAGAGATTCCAAGTGTTGTTGCCTTTTATTCTGTGCTTGGTTGGGGTGTTTTTTCCTCTTTTTCTTATAACTTGGTTCTTTGGCATCACTTTTCTGATCTAAATTGTATTTGTATGCCTTTCTTCCAACCCAGAGATTCTCTCCTGGCTAGCTTGTTGGATGGAGTGAGAGCTTCTGGTAATAGAGATGTCTGTGTGAAAATGACCTCTACGCACAAAGGTCAACGTTGGGGATTACTCAGTATGCCTGTAGATGAAGAAGTAGAGAGCCTTCATCTGAGGTTTTTGGCTGCTCCTCCAAGTAAGCTAATGCTTATTGTGTGGTTTTGTAGTGCTTTATTTAGTCAGGTACTGCGCAATTAACTTCTGTCATGTCTTCTTCCAGATGGTAACTTTGCAGATGCTGTGTTCAGGTTCAATGCTAACATTTCCTACAGTGGGGTACTACATGCAGTTACACAAGATGTAAGAATAAATCCTCTGCCCATCCTCTTAAGATGTTGTTAATGCATAGAGATATTAATAACTGTTATTTCTTAACCAGGGTCTGTTCTCGGAAAACAAGGAGAAACTCATTAATAATGCCATAACAGCATTACTCTCGCAAGAGGGAGATGTTGCAGCATCTAATGCAGAGCTTGAAAGCCAATTTCAAGCAGTAAGAAGACTCGTGGCTTCAAAAGCAGGCTTCCTTGCCTTTACTCAGCTTCCAAAGTAAGTGAGAAGTCTCTTCAAGCTTGGAAGTAGTAGGTGAAAACAGTTCTTCAGCTTCTGATGGCGTCTTATGTTTAAAACTGACAGTTGGATCTAAGCCTCACTTGTGAAAAAGACTGGAAGACTCTGGACACGATTGCTTCCAGTAGTATGAGGCTGTCACTGGGCTTTAATGTGAATTCACCTTCCCAAATGTTCATTAGTATGTAAAGCTGGTTGTTCCTTTGGTAAATACTCTGTGCCTTGAGTCAAGCATAAGTTTAATGTTTTTCCTAGTGGAAAAACTTCTAAAGTGCACCTTCATCGGTCCTTAAGTAGGCAGTTCTTCTCTCTTTAAGTTGATGCCACTACTATCTTCAGTTCAACACAAGATAAAACTTGACTTGAGGTTGAGTTGTACTCCTACAGTAAGCACAGCCCACTTGGAGTTTGTGTCTTAATTGGATAACATAAGGAATCAGAAAAACTGCCTTAACATTCTTCTGAAAATGAAAAATTCTTTGGAATATTTCTGACTCTGGACTATGGGGCAACTGAATGATGCAAAGAGTAATGAGAGACCTTTATAAAGTTCTGTTTCTCTGTGGATAGTGTCCTGTACTATCACTATCCTGTAACTACAGAAAGATGTCTTTGTTTTGGTGAATGTGCTCTCAGCATGTTGTTAGAAGTGAAGTCAATATTTTCCTACCAAGGAATCTCAAATTTATGTAAACGTCAAGGTACTGGCTTGCTGAATGCAATGGGAGCAGGCCATTTCTGGTGCCCAGTTGGACTTTGATCTTAAAACTAGGATTTCTGTTTCCTCTCTAATCTTGATGGTTTTGCTTTCCCTTCAAAAGATTTCGAGAACGATTAGGAGTGAAAGTTGTGAAAGCCCTCAAAAGGAACAACGATGGAGTAACCCATGCCTCTATTGACATGCTTTGTGCTCTCATGTGTGTAAGTATTAAATTGCAGATTCTCTCACTTTGGAATGTGTGAACTTCAGTCCACTGAATGATGTAGGCATAGGGACTGCCCTTCAACATGCAGTGTGCTCAAACATGAAACAAATTGTGGATGTGCTTTTTACAGGTTCAGAGTGTGGCTTTTGGACTATAGCTTTTAAGAACTAAGGATGGAAATGTGACTGCATAGTGAATGCTTTTTTCTTTTTTTTTGCCTTTCATAGCCCATGCACGATGACTATGACTTGAGGCAGGAACAGTTGAACAAAGCTTCCCTTCTTTCTTCAAAGAAGTTTCTAGAAAATCTACTAGAGAAATTCAATTCCCATGTGGTAAGTCAAATTTTGAAAACAAATAACTTGAAGTACTTTTCTTAATTGCTATGAAAACACGTCTGTCATACTTGGATATGTCTTTGAATCTATTTGTGCCTGCAATTGAAGTGCAGGAAACACAGCTATGTCTGGCACTGAAGCTTGTTCTAAATAGGTTTGGATCTTGACAGGTTAGAATGTAGCTGCCTGTACTGCAGAACGTGGGTCATGCAACAAATATTTGCATGTTTAGTATGGAAACTGAGTGTTCCTTTTAACTAAAAGGAAACTGATACTTACTGGATTAAAACTAGAAAAAGTAATCTGCAGCACACCAATATATGAGGTCACGAGTCTCCAATATGCTCTAGGAGCCAGTACTTTACCAGAGTATTGCCATACTCAGAGTAATGGTATATATTAAACTTTTAATTTTTGTTTGCAGGCTATTTCATGGTATGACAGGGAAGGGCACCTCCAGCATTATGAGTACTGATTAAAACTTGCATGAATACTGTAGGGCAGGGGGAGAAACACTGCATCTGTGTTACATACCTGTCTTCCTAATTTCAGGACCATGGGACGGGTGCCCTAGTAATTAGTTCACTTCTGGACTTCCTGACATTTGCCCTATGTGCTCCATATAGTGAGACTACTGAGGGGCAGCAGTTTGACATGTTGTTGGAAATGGTGGCATCTAATGGAAGAACACTATTTAAGCTCTTTCAGGTAAGATTTTGTCGTTTTTTCGTTATTATTAGAGGTAGTCAGCGAACATGAACTTTTTCCTCTTCTCCTGAGGGACAAATCTGTCTACTGTTTGGCTGGTTAATGTGCCTGAACCTTTTTTACCTTGGTGAGTTTCTCAGTGACTTGCTGCTTTCGCTTCAGATAACAGATTGAGGTGCCAAATCATTGTAGAATAGACTAAGACTTGTTTTTGGAAACAGTAGTTAAATATTAAGCTAGATAAAGCAAATGCACAGATCTTCCTGTCTTTGGAGAGTCTGACACCTTTTTGTTTCTCTTTCAGTAAATGCGAGTTAAGAGTTACAAAATAGGAGTAGCATCCTCTTCAGTACCAAATCTGTAAGAATTGTAGGATTTTTAGCTAAAACGTCAATGCTTTCTCTGCTTCTTGGTTGGTGTCAGCTTATGTCAGTCCCCAGCATTATTCTAGTTTCTCTGGCATATGCTGTTCTTCAGTGCCAAAAAGTCCGTCTGAGAGTAGCATGAGAGATTCTTGCTTAAATGCCTAAGATAGGAACTCCTTCCTGGGGCTACCTTTCACAAAACTTTTGCCCAGAACTGGAGATGGAACATATGTGTAGATGAATTAAGGAACCTGAAGCACGGATGATCCAGTCTTCAAATTTTGCACTTGGCTAATTCTTTTTTTCAACGTTCTGTTTTAGCACCCTTCCATGGCAATTGTGAAAGGAGCAGGTTTGGTAATGAAGGCAATAATAGAGGTGAGATTTTATCAGTGTTACCTGGGATAGCATACTAAATGTGTTTTGTATATTTTGGAAGTGCAATTGCTTACCAATAGAAGTTTGTTAAATTAGCTGCTCTTGGGGGCAGAAGGGAGGGGTCAGGGGAAGGCAAGGAACAGAACACCTGCTTAATTGTGGGTGGTTTAATATAGCAGCTTCCTTTATCTTACACTTGGGGGTTTGGAAGGCATGTGAGTTGGGACATCAGATACTGCCTTGCATGTTTTCATACTGCAGTCAAGATTTGGCTGTTAATGTTGTGTGTAGCTCAAGTCACCTACCTCAGAACCACCAGACTTCTGCATGTTAAAGGGAGTCTCTCAAGGGGAAGAGGCCACATTTCCTGGGATGCAATGTAGGATGGAATGGGACTGGGATTAGCAGGCATTAGTGTCCCAGAGCAGACTAGTGATGTCAGCCTCCGTTCTTGGTCTTTCTGCTTCAACAAAGGATGTTTTGGCTTTGTTACTTTCTGTACCACATGATGTATGGGCCAAGTCCATACTTCCCAAGGGCTGCTCATGATTGTTGCAGGGTGACATTGCTATCTGACTCTTGACACTTCCTATGTTGAAATTCAGGGCTTAAATTAGTGCCTCATTGTGTCACAGTGGCTTACGCATCGAGTAATTTCTTGGAATGGAAGTGAATGAACACTTGAAATAGAGGTATTATAAATCAGCAAGTTTCCATTGATAATACTTGATAACGTTAGCTAAAAGTTGCTGTGCTGTTCATTACAACTTCTGTCATTTGAACTATAGTGGGACATGGGCAAGTAAAAATGCACCAAAACCTTTTTCTTAATTGTTCATTGCAATTAATGTATCTCAACTGAGTGGCAGTCTCCAGTGGTTTATCCATGTGGCTGCCTAAACTGAACAGCAGCAGCTATACTTAAATAGTTACTGTTGACCAAAGTCAAGGCACAAGCAATTACTTGTGGCTGTCATTCTTTGTTTAACCCTAATTTGCAATTGCAGCGTGGAAATGGGAGTTGTGACAGTACTACCAGCCTCCTGATCTGTGATGGGAGAGGTGTGTCTTATCCAATCCAGTTACTGTCCTCATAGATATGACTACCAATTGTGTGGGCCATGGTATTACTACAACTCTGATCAGTTGCCATTGAGAACTTGCACTTAAAGCCCATCATACTATAGCTTCTGGCTTTTTGGATATTAGTTGATATAATTGATGGTCAAGAAGGCCTTGGAACTGTAGACTAAGATAAAAGCAGCTTAACTAAGATTCTTTCTTTAGTAATCATCTTGCCCTGTTTCCAAAGGAAGGAGACAAAGAGATTGCTACCAAAATGCAAGATCTTGCCCTCAGTGAAGGTGCCTTACCTCGTCACTTGCACACTGCTATGTTTACAATAAGCACAGATCAGAGGATGCTTACAAATAGGTATGTCAGTATCACTTGATATATTATATTTTAAAAGTCTAATTAATGGCCTGGCTAACATTAGAAACATTGGGAGGTCAGGGAGGGAAACTTGCAGTTCTTTTGGCCTGGCTAACATTAGAAACATTGGGAGGGAAACTTGCAGTTCTTCTGGAGAATATTTTCTTCAGCAGCTGGTAAGCAGAGCAAACTTCAGCTGAGTCTGCAGCCACTGAATAGAGCTTTGATTTTTTTATTATTTTTTTTTTTTGCCAAAATGGGACTTGGGTTGGTTATTTATTAAAGGCTCAAGTTTTGTTGGTTTTTTTTGTTTTTTTTTTTTTCCCTTGAAAACATTCAGGGAAAGAAAAGGCAAGTAGAATGTCAGAAACTTGTAAAAAGTTTTGACTTTATACAGCTCTAAATCCTGGTGTACACACCTCAGTCATCTTGCAGTTAGGGTCACCATCCCCTCTGAGAGAAGTCTCCTCAAAGAGAAATCATTCCGTGGAGAGAAGTCTCCTCAAAGAGAAATCATTCCATGAATTTGTCAGTCAGGAGAACTTGTGAGCTGTTGAGACTGGCCTGAGGGCATGCTGAGGATAACTCAATTACTTACAAATACAAGGTTATAGAAGTTTTAACTGCACAGTGCTGAAGCACTTAGAGTTGCTAAGCAATGTAGTGACAAGTGGAATTTGCTGCCACTGTCTGTCATTCAGGAGAGAGAGCTAGTGTGAAACCTTCTGTCATACTAGTTCTGCTTGGAGCTACTAATGACTTGCAAGCAATACTTCAGTGCAGCAGAACCCTAGTTACAGATGTTGGCAGAAAGTGTCAGTTGACATAGAAGGCAGGCTCCCAAAAAGGCTTTTTTAGTCAATAACTGGTATTAAGAGCTTCAAGTAGAGCAGTTAACAGTTCTTGATGGCTTCTAGACTCTTAACTGTAACTTAAGATTGACTGGATAAACTTACACTTGGTCATTAGATGTTTAGTTTCTGCTCTATTGCTCAAGTGTTCTTTTGAGGTCTAGATCAAAAAGCATGTGCTGCTACTGTTCCACTAACTTCACTGGAACTTCTTGAAGGCAACACTCTAAAGCATGCTGAGCATATACTTGGACTGGGACAATATAATGCTTTGTGCGTCTTACTCAAGAGCACGAAGCTTTTGCTCATCTTCATTTCACCAGCATGATAGGGGGGTCAGTGGTTTAAAAAAAATCTATTTAAAATACTAACTTGGGGTTTGTTAATTTCAATGGCTTTTTCAGGCAGTTAAGTAGACATTTGGTTGGCCTCTGGACAGCTGAGAACAAAACTGCTATGAACTTGTTGAAACGTATTTTGGTGAGTAAAAACGGGATGTAGAAGTAGGGAAAGAATAAAATCTGAAAGCCTGTAATATTAGAAAACTTTGGATAGTCTATGTGGTAAACACATTCCCTTTCCCTCCAAGGGGGAAGTCTAGTCTGGGACATCAGCAGCCTGTCATCTGCTATTTGAAGGGTATTGATGACTAGTACAAAATACCTCAGATTCTTAAAGTATTCTGTTACTTCCTGCCACTTTTAAAAATGGTGTATGACACACGAATTAAGGTGTCTGACTTTTTTTCTCTTTATTGAAAGGACAAAAATACAGGAGACACGATAAACGCTGCCACTTTTAAAAATGGTGTATGACACACAAATTAAGGTGTTTGACTTTTTTCTCCTTATTGAAAGGACAAAAATACAGGAGACATGATAAACATAGTCTCTAATGCTTAGTGCCAGTAAGAAATGAAGACACTGGTTCTGTCTCTGCTTTCATGCCTGTCCAACTTTGCTTATAACACTGTCTCTGCTTTCATGCCTGTCCAACTTTGTTTGTGTATAACGTAGCTAAATTTACATATTAGCTGGTACTTGCCATGTTCTTTCACACTTATAGCCTCCTGAAAGATTCTTGCTTAAGTTAATTCAGTGAAACTAGTTCAAAGAATAGTGTTGTAAGGAATGACAAGATCTGGAAAAATACTGACTTTTAATTTAAAAATAGCAGTTCCTTCTTTTTGGCAGAGCAAACCATCTTGATCATGATCACTATCTTCCAGAAGGCTTAGTCAGTAGCTAAATTTACATATTAGCTGGTACTTGCTATGTTCTTTCACACTTACAGCCTCCTGAAAGATTCTTACTTAAGTTAATACGATGAAACTAGTTCAAAGAATAGTATTGTAAGGAATTACGAGATCTGGAAAAATACTGACTTTTAAATTAAAAATAGCAGTTCCTTCTTTTTTGGCAGAGGAAACCATCTTGATTGTGACCACTATCTTCCAGAAGGCTTAGTCAAATGAGACTATCTCATCTCCAATGTCACATGCAACGTCCAATCCATATTGATGGAATCAAGTGTTATACTGTTTGTGAGACTATCTCATCTCCAATGTCACATGCAATGTCCAATCCATATGAGAGGATATTGATGGAATCTAGTGTTATAGTATTCATCCCCCTCAATTGCTGTGGGATCAGCTCTTTTTTTTTTCCTGCACTCCTTAGTTCCCTTTAAGAAATGGGATATAGGCAAGACCTCTGCTGTACTGTGGCTAATTATGTGCCTCTATTGGATGGTTCTGTTGAGGATGGTGGCATTTCAGTAATAAAAGCAAAAAACTGATGAAACCTTACATACTTGCTTTAGAGTAGAATAGAAATTGTTTTGAAATATCATAAATTAAAGAAATGATCTTGTTACCTAATGTGATGGTTTCTGTTCCAGTAGCCACGTGCATGTTTACACTGGTTTTAAATGTTTGTAGCCACCAGGTTTGCTGGCGTACCTTGACAGTGCTGATCCTGTTCCTGAAAAAGATGCCGATAGGATGCACGTTAGAGATAACCTGAAAATTGCAACTGTAAGTAAATGTAGCTGTCTTACCTCCTCCAATATGTAATCTTAGTGGCTTTTTTAATACAGACACTTGACTGTTGTATTGTCCTGCATCAAATGTGTTGATAGACCTGCAACTGCAAATGACTAATCGGATCTATTCTGCAGGATCAGTACGGCAAGTTTAACAAAGTGCCCGAGTGGCAGAGACTGGCTGGAAAGGCTGCAAAGGAAGTTGAAAAATTTGCCAAAGAGAAGGTGGATCTAGTCTTGATGCACTGGAGAGATAGAATGGGCATAGCTCAAAAAGAGGTAAAAGTATTTGAAGTTCTCTTTTACAGCAGCGTCACTAAGAGTAGAGAGGAACATCTCCAACTCCATGAAATCAGGGGAACCTTGACAGTAATAGAAATCCAGGAATGTGAGAGACTTCGTAGTTCTGCTTCCTTTTAGTAAACTCTCTGCCTTTTACTAATCTTCATCTTGGCTTAGAAATGGGTTTCAAGGAGAATGTAAAGCAGGCAAATGGATTCATTCAGCACCTGTATTAAGCTTTAGCTTCTCCTTGCTTTAGCCAAACTTATCAAACTGGACTGCAGCTTAACGTGCATCTCTTCCAAGATACGAGAGAACAGGAAGTTTCTTGAAATGTGGCAAGACCAGTCTTGAAATTTACATTTTTGAAGAAACTATGGATAGTCTTTATGCTAGTGCACTTTATGCTAGTGGTATTTTAGTTATGGAACCTGCTTGAAGAAGCTTAATATTACCTTGAATGTAGGTATCTTAGTGCTTAAATTGCAATGTAAGACTATACATAAAACCACAGTTAAGATTGAAGTGATATGTGACTGTTTTGCCGTGATGTTAGGACTGCTTGAGTTGTTATAGTTGGTCTCCTCCTTCCTGTCATTTTGTTGTCATGCTCTGTATGACAAACTTCTTGAATCATGAGAGGTTTCCTTTAACTTCCTTTAATCAGCTAAGCTTATTTTCTTGCATTCTGAAAATGAAACAGGCTATTATATATGCAAAGAGCAATACAGAGTATTGAAAATGCCTGTATTTGTACTTGATTTGACATAACAATAAGTTTTAATCTAGGAAAACCCTAACTTGATAAAATCTAGCTCAACTTTGTGTGCTGTGGTGCTGAATTTTGATGGGTGGCATTTCTGGAATAAATGTGAACTAGGTTCAAAACAGCATTAATGGAGAAATGTGGACACTGGTGGGTCAAGGACAAATGACACTATCTTGTGTAGATACCAAGTTTAAACAGCCATTTTCTTACCTGGAGTTATGAGCTGTTTAATTTCACAGTAAATAGCGTAGCTTGGAATGGGTAGTAGCCAGTTTGGTGTTACCACTTTGAATTGCTTGAGTGACTGTGGCTTGTTAAATGTACGTTTTCTTTTTCTTCTGACATTGCATCACAATCAGGACAGAAACAATATGGTGAGTGTGTATATCTCTGCCACTTGTGTGGATTACATTGCTCAGACTTCTGCTTGCATGTGGTACCTCCTGTAGAGTATAATATGGATTTCATGCTTGACCAAACTAGGGAACCTTTCAGTGGCCGAGTCAAACTTGTGACTAATTTCTGTGAATTGCTCTAATTATGTCCTTTCAAGAGCAAAGCATTCTTGTTGTGGGCTTTCTCCTCCATCAGCTCCGGAGCTGATCAGTTCTTAGGGTGATGGGAACTAAGCCTTTCTCAGGGTTAACTTGCTTCTAAATGAGTGACTTGTTTAACATCTGAAAGTTTCTCTGGCATGATTTAACTTTGTGTAAATAACACTTGTGGAAGTCTGTTGCTACTACTTTTTAGAAAAGGAGACATTATTAATGAGACCTAACATAGTGTGGCTAAGGAATGAAAAAAAACCCTAGCTTTTTATTTTGAAAAAGGAATGGGGAGCAGCTGTTACTCCTGACTTCTTAAATGTGACTCTTTTGCAGAACATTATTCAAAAGCCAGTGATATTAAGGAAACGACGCCAAAGAATAAAAATAGAAGCAAACTGGGATCTCTTCTATTACAGGTAAAAAACGAAGATTAATCTGATGGTTTGTGATACCAGTTATTACCTGGCTGGAAATTTTTTTAATGTTTTCTTAGTTGCTGTGGCTTGATTGCAATTTCTGCTTGCCTTGAAGCAGTCCAAGTGCTTTGTAACAGGAACCTATGAAAAATGAAATTCTAAGATACACTCAAGGATTTAGCTTGTGTTTGGGAAAGGGGGGGATTTGGAAGGCTTCTCAAGTGTTACCAAACTACATCCTTTTTACCCTTGAATCAAAAGGAAGTGTGAGCAACAAATTGCAGGTGCAGATCTCCATGGTGTTGAAGGCTAAGCAGAGTAGCACTGAAAAGCACTGTAGTGTGTTTGCATCAACCTGTGAGCTACTCCAGATATTTTAGCTGTCAGGATGTTGAAACACTGGAACAGGCTGCCCAGAGGAGTTGTGGATGCCCCATTCCTGGAAGTGTTCAAGGTTGAGTAACCGTGTCTGGAGAAAGGCGGCCCTGCCCAAGACCCCTTTCAACCCAAACCATTCTATAATTCTATGAACTTGAATTGGGATAAAAATTAGCTTAAAGCAGGCAAAGAGAAAACACTTGGATATTGGATTTCAAATAGTGCCACAGGTCCTAAATGCAGCTTGATTACCTGTGAGTTCTTGTAACTGTTGAAGATTATAATGGAGGGGCCTCCATCTGAAAAAGATAGTCACTTTGGCTAGGGGTGTTATGTTAAAAAGACTAATAATGCTGGACTGTTCAGCAAACTCTATGAAAGCAAGCTCAGGGAAATTCCTTAAACTTAACTGTTCAATTCAGTACTTAATGTCTCTAAAGGTGAAATATAGTCCATTTTGCACAAGTGTTGCATGAAAGGAAAATTTGCATGCTCGTAAACCTTGAGTATTAACGTGCTGCTCTCAGCCAGTCTCTGGATCCGAATGCTGTTTTGTAACTGCCACTGAAGAATGTCCACTGACTGTCTTGTGACACTTGAGACATCAACTTGTATTTTCCTGCATGAAGTACACTTTCTGTTGAAAACATGCAGTTGGTGTGTGCGTGTCTGCTGTCCTGGGTTATTGCTCACCTGTAGCCCTTACTGGCAGATACGGTGAATAGCTTGCAAGTCTCCTGTTGATCAACTATAGATGAGTAATAAATTGAGCCAAAAGGGATGACAACGGGCATGTTTTACTCTATGTTGACTTCCATGACTATGGAAACACTATAGAAGCAAACAACTGTAATTATTGTAATAAACTAGAGATGGCTACTCAGTACATTTTAATTAAGGTCCACTAATGCTCATCTTCTCGAGGTTGCCAGCTGAATCTTGTCTGCCTTTCAAATAATGTTTGCTGGGGTTTAAATAATGTAACTTCTTTCTTAGATTTCTTCAGGATCATGCTCGATCAAACTTGATTTGGAACTTCAAAACACGGGAAGAACTGAGAGATACTCTTGAGTCTGAGATGAGAGCATTTAATATTGACAGAGAACTTGGTAGTGCTAATGTTATCTCATGGAACCATCAGGAGTTTGAGGTAAATGACCCACTGTAGGAGAAACTGCATGTATAAAATATGTCTGCTTAAAATGTCACTTTTCTACGTCTACCTACATGAGTAAATCTTCACAATCCCTGACTGCAAGCTAGAGTTCTTTTGGGGTCCTGGAATAAACTGCTAAGGCTTAAGTCTGTGGAGAGGGATTGTTGTCCCATGTTACTCTGCAAAACTGAAACGTTTCCAGCCTGACAAATACTACTGCAGAGATGAGACATTGATTGGAACCCTTGATGTATTCTTGCATTAAGAGGAAGAGTTGGTATTACATTGTTGTCAGGATAAGTCGTATGTCTTGAATGTGCTCCATCAGACTTCTTTGGGGTTGTTTCACAAGTCACTTCTTCCTGATAGCAAGCTCCTTGTCTTTATTTCCATTGTGTCTCAGTGATCCTAAGTCCATGAAATACTGGGTTGCCAAACCCTGAATAGGTTATGTGGCTAAAACCATGCTGCTCTGTGAACTACAGGTCGAGGATACTGCTTTCACATCTCTCACATTCTAGGAACAGCAGTACCTACAGTCAAAATAACACTTCAGGCTTCTGCAAAGCAATTGATATGGTCTTAGTTGGCTTTCTCAAAACATCTTGCAAGATGTTTTCAAGTACTGTGTGTAGGAGACACTTCCTGTACTCTGCTCTTATCTGCAGTAGTGTTATGGTTCTACACAGTTTTATTTAATGTTTAATTCTTTAGCAAAGCAAGGTCACACTTGAATGCAACTGCAGGATATTCTTAGATATTCCCAATGCCATGCTTGTCACAGTACAACTTTCTAGTGGAAATTTGAGCAGGGGACAAGTGAAACAAGAGTCAACTGCTGCTTTTGAGGAATTCTTCTGATTTGCCAGAGTAGTCGACTAAGGAATTGCAAGACATCAGGCTAAGGCTTTAGGAGAAAGAACTATGACACAACTTACCTGTATCATGCAGCTACAGGTTACTTCTTACCTTGTAAATAGCTAAGTTTGGGTTTGGATTGGTATTTTCTTCACTGGTATTTAGGTTTTGAAGTTTCTTTCAGGTATGGGTCAGGCATGGGACTTCTGGGTGCCTCCCAGCTCTATCTCTGTACTTTGGAGGTGCCAACTGGGGCAGAATCAGAAGTACAGATTTGAAATCTAGCAATACAGGCTTCCCACCCACGCTTTGTGCTCCTATGTGGCTTATGCTACTGGAATGTGTCACTAGCATTCGTGCAGTTACAGGCCAGGATACTTTGAGACTTGCTTGAGAGGGCTTCTGTAACATCTTTGGACAGTTGCTGTGTCAGATCTGCTTTTAAATAATTTAAATGAATACTTTATCAGGCTACACTGTGTTTGAACTAACTACACAGTAGTGACAGAGGCTTCTCTGTCAGCTATGGAACCTGGGTACAGTGGCTTAAGATCACTCTGGAAGCATACTAGTTAGTAGAACCTCATTGTATTGTGTGCTGTGGTGAAATCTGTAGATAACTTTGTGGCCTCGTGACAGCGGCCTGCAAACTATAGATAAGAAAACCACTGTAGAGGGTGGCTTTTGTGGTATGTTAGACTTACCACTAAATGAGGCGCTTGCCAACCACTGAGAGTTGAGGCATATGGTTAAATTTAATGTAGTTGCTCTGAAGTTAATGATGCCTCTCATTGTGCAATTTCACTTTACGTTCTTGGTGTATATATTGATACCTCAAGGCTTTTATTACCCAGCATAATAGCGAGTATAACCAGTAATTAAGTTGTGCTTGTGGTTCATACTTGTAGTAACATTGTATGAAATACCTTGCAACGGAGTAACTACTTATTAAAGCTTGAGTCACTGAATTCAAAGTGTATTATCCAAATTTAGTTAATAAAACCAGCTGATATTAGAAACAAGTTACTTACAGGCCAGAAGCTGTGATTTCAGTAAGATAAGAAACTTCACTTGTTCTGGGGAGCAACAATAGCTTATCGTGTGTATTTTGTAGATATGCATTTCTTTAACAGCAAACGTGCAGACTTCAGTCTTCCTCAAACTGTAGGGCTTGCTACCCTTGTTGAGTTTCTGGAAGCAAGCAAGTACAGTATTGTTATGCAAGCAAAACTTAATGAGAGAGAAACAATATTTGCTATTAAGTAACTTGTTCTGTCTTACAGGTAAAATATGAGTGCCTTTCTGAAGAAATAAAAATAGGGGACTATTATCTAAGATTGCTACTGGAAGAAGATGAAACCGAAGAGAGTGGAGCAATCAAAAAATCGTGAGACATTATTAAAATCCTGTCTTATTCCTAAGGTCTTCAATTCGTTTTCTTCACTAAAATATTATCTCTTTCTTAGGTATGAATTCTTCAATGAACTATACCATCGCTTCTTGCTTACTCCAAAAGTGAATATGAAATGCTTATGTCTGCAAGCATTGGCCATTGTTTATGGAAGATGTCATGAAGAAATAGGACCATTTTCTGATACAAAGTACATTGTTGGGATGTTAGAAAGGGTAAGAATTATTTAAAATTACTTGTTATAGTAGTTAACATACAGGCAGTCGGATTCAAGTTTCTGTGAAACCCAAGTTTTGGTTTTACAGAACATGAAGCTGTAGAATGAATACATTTTATCCATGCTGTCACCAAGTGTTCCTAGTATCTCCCCTTGAGTCAGTTGAAGCTTCGCTAAAAAACCCCCTGATTATAAAGGTATTTCATACTAATCTCTTTATATCTGCATTTTGTTGGCCTTAACAGGTTTTCAGGCTGTACAGAAATAGCATGAAGCAACTTTGTGTTACGTTAATCTTGTGTTTGCTTTTGAGAAATGCAGAAGCATAACATCTTTTAAGAGGAGAACCTTATTCCACACTATTTCAAAATACTGATATCAAGAGTAGTAGCAACAGCCCCAGACCTAAAGAAAGAGCAGTTTTAGCAGAGCACGTATGATGATTTTTAGATTTTTAGTGGTAACTACTTGCCTATTAAGTGTCTGCTAAGTGTCTGGCAACTGATGTGGGTTGCAAAAATGCATTTCCACGCGGCCTGAAGAAGGGGTTCTTTACTAAGGTCAGTATGGGTTTTAGATGTAGCTGTTGTAAGTGAAATTGAACCAATGCGGCCTCTTGTTATTTTTACCGTGAGTCTTGGTAGCAGAGGTGTAACATCAGAGACCTGTTCTTTCTGCTGGGTGAAAGCATTCTCTTTTTCCTGTGTATTTGTGTTACCCAGCTCACTGGGAAATCCCAACACTGTCCCTGTAGAACAGTAAACTTAGAGCAGTGGGTTTGAGTGTCAAACCCAGAGTGACAAAGAGGATGGGAGGCAAGAAGGCCTTTTCTCCTCGGTGGCAGAAACCTGCATTTATTAGCTGTGCACGCAACGGCACCTCTAATAGTCAAGAGTTTTATGCTGGGCAGGAAGAAAGTAAAATGGGTCTTTGCAGGTGCAGCTGTATTGACTCTTCAAAGTGACTTCTAACAAGTGCTATGAAATACTAATTTGTTTTCTTCTGCTGCCCTAGTGCACTGATAGGCTCGAGCGGGACAGATTGATACTGTTTCTCAACAAGCTGATCCTTAATAAGGTAAGATGGATACGCTTAACCGTAGTTTATCAATCTTTCAGCTGTATAAAATGGCCTGGACTAGTCTTGCAGGGTTAACTTCAGCAAAAATCGAAGTCTTGGGGAAGTTTGAAAACAGTGTTTGATACATCTTTCTGGGGTATGCTAGTTGTTATTTACTGGTAAGAAAGGTGAAGGAAATGCAGATATTGTGATTGTACTGTTCTAGTCGCTTTAGAAAACGATCCGACTTTTCTCACAGTCACTTCTTATTTGAGTACAACTGTTCAGTTCTTGTAACAGCTCTTATCTAGAAAACGCTTGTGTTAACTCAGTTCATCCATTAACAGAAAAACGTGAAGGACCTTATGGATTCAAATGGCATTAGAATCCTTGTAGATCTGCTTACTCTGGCACATCTTCACACAAGCAGAGCTACAGTCCCTCTGCAGGTATGTATGTGGCCTCTGTTTCTTACTTACTCATATATAGCTTTGCTAAAAGGACAATTCTTAAAAAAAGAAAAAAATCAGTGTCCTTTTTCACATTTCCTGTAGAAATGTGATATTTGCACTGAATCTAAAGCTATTCTTATAAACATCAACTTCTAGAGCAACGTGATTGAAGCAGCGCCTGATATGAAGAGGGAGAGCGAGAAAGAATGGTACTTTGGCAATGCTGACAAAGAAAGGAGTGGTCCTTACAGCTTTCAAGAGGTACTGTCAGCTTCAAACTCTCAAACTTCACAGATGATTTCTATCCTGGTCACCACGTGCGTTTCAAACAGTGAGAGAAAACTGTAAACAATGCTAAACTATATTCTTAAAGTAACCCTTCAAATTAGGATTGAAGCTAGATAAGAGACTTGATGGTGTGAAAAGAACCACAGTGTTTTTGGTAAGGCTGCCTACCCCTCCATGCCCCAAATATGCTGCAATTAATCTATCAACTTTTTATTTCATGTTTCCTGGTGGAGTTACAAATACGTTGGAATTTCATGCAACTATAGTAGTTTGCTATACAGCAGTTTAAAGCTTGTCTTGAGTGTGAATGTCTGGGAGCAAAGGTAGCTCTGAATGCTGAATCAACTAAATTCATCTCTGATCTTGGAACAGATGCAGGAGCTCTGGAACAGTGGAAAGCTGACTTCCAAAACACGCTGCTGGGCTCAAGGTATGGATGGCTGGCGACCATTGCAGGTCATCCCTCAGCTGAAGTGGTGCTTGCTTGCCAGCGGCCAGGCTGTGTTGAATGAGACTGACCTTGCCACGCTTGTACTCAACATGCTCATCACAATGTGTGGATATTTTCCCAGCAGGTAAACACTAATTTTCAGCAGAAGTGGTTAACTTTCTCTGGCAGACGCGTAGATTCGATCTTAAAGCTTCTCTTAGAAACCAAGTAGCACACTAATGAACTGTATTAAAGAGCCTTTTACATAATAGTAATTAATTCTGTGGGCAAATAGAGAGTTTGTAAATAAGACAATACTAATATTGTGAAAGGGACTGCAAGACTGAATGCACAAGCTATGTGTGTTTCTGATACGTAGTCTTACTCTTCCAGGCAGGCTCTTTTTCAGGTTGAAAACAAAGTTGCTTTAATGCATGACACTAAACCACAACGTATCAACAAACAACAAACTTTGAAGTTAAGGAGAAAAATGACACTGAATATGATGTCAGTAGCCTGATACTTATCGCTTAATAAATTTGTTCATTCTCGAAAGGGAGAAGACACATGTGCTTATGCTGTGCCACTTTATCTTTTTTTTTGTTAGGGATCAAGACAATGCTATTATAAGACCTCTGCCTAGAGTGAAGAGGCTGTTGTCAGATAGTACTTGTCTTCCTCACATCACTCAGGTAAGCAGCTCTTCAAAAATGTATCTAAACAAGTAAAATTCTGACTTATTCTACCGTCTTCCCTGTGTGAATACTTAAAGTGAGACAAACGCATCATATGATGTCTGTAGCATTCTGCAGATCTCTGGACTGTTTATTTCACTGGGTGCTGTTAACAATTTCATGTTGTTTCATCCAATATCTTACTAGTATCTTACTAAATATTTACATCCTTGGAGATACTGAAAAGCCATGTGGACATGGTCCTTGGCAACCAGCTGTAGGTGACCTTGCTTTTGAGCAAGGGAGTTCAACGAGATGACCTCCAGAGGTCTCCTTCAACTTTAAATATTCTGTTATTTGAACTTATTTTTGGATTACAGTATTTTTTAACTGAAATTCTTATAAGTTTACTGGCTTTTCCCAATAATGAGCTAGTTAAAACTTCAATTTTGGGTAGGTAACTTGTACTACTTAAGCAGCTAATGTAAATATGTGTTTCATTTCAGCTATTACTGACTTTTGATCCTATCCTTGTGGAAAAAGTCGCTATATTGCTGTTCCATGTCATGCAAGATAACCCTCAGTTACCTCGTTTTTATCTGAGTGGAGTATTCTTCTTTATCATGATGTACACAGGTTCCAATGTACTTCCTATTGCAAGGTGAGGAAAAAGAATAGCTAAAAATACCTCTTGACTAGTCGTGCTCAGAAGAACTGCTGCTCTAAACGCTCCGGGGATTGTGGTTTGCTAGAACCAACATGAGACTGCAAGCAGAAACTCTCTAGAAGAATTGCTTCTATGTGGTCTAGTCAGTCACTAAAAAAGTGAATTGCTTATGACCTGCCAGGGAGGCAACAAGAGCATGTCTGATCATGTAGTTCTAACAGTACAACTAGGTCTGGCTTATTGTAGAGGAACAAATCATTACAGGCACTACAGAGTAGTCATACTGGCTGCTGATACCCTTATGTAGTTTTTGATAGTAAGCAGTTACCAAAATTGGTGGAGAAACCTTATAGCCTGTTTTAATATTGAAGCCTTAAACAGTTAAATCAGTCTGTACTGCCTGACACAGATGCGCTGCATGTGCAGGTGGATATTGCAGTTCAATCCAGTTCTTTTCCTCTAAATTCATGAAAAGCTGTTGTACAATTCCAGTGAAGTCTTTTCTGTAGCAAAATGCCTTGGGAAATGATTACATGGTTACAGGATGACTCGAGTGTAACAGGAGTGTCAGCAGTTAGTGTGAGATCATGCTTCACCCGTGCAATGATGATCTAACAGTGCACGGGGAGGTTTGTAGGGAAAGGTTGTCTGGTTTTTTTATCAGCTTCTTTCTGTGTGGCTGGAGAAAACAAGCTTTCAGGAGAGTGACTTGCAAACTGAATGATGAATATAAGGCAACGTTTTTAGCATGGGAGTGCTTAACTTAGTGGAGTTCCCAAGGATTTGATGCACTTTGTACAGAGATTCATTCAATTGTTGCTGTTACATTTACGTTGAGATAAAAGAGTATGAGTTTTGCCTGCTGGACTATATTGGTCTGCTTATCTTTCAAGGGTGCCTGAAGTATCAGTTAAAGAGAAAATAACTTCTGTTTCTCTTCTAGGTTTTTGAAATACACACATACAAAACAAGCCTTCAAGTCTGAAGAAGTGAGTAGATTGCAAAAGTAACTACCTCTGTTTCCAAATTGTTTCACAGACCACCTGTACTTGTTATAACAATATTTGATGCTTGTTCTTTTTCTGAGGTCTGGAGTTAGAATTTAAGAACTATAAGGGAAAAGGGGAAGGATTTTTAGATCTTAAGTTGGTTAGCAAGACTGAATTCTGATTACCTTTGAGATGACACTGTGATCTCTTCTGTAGACAAAAGGTCAAGATATAGTTCAAAGAAGTATACTTGGACATATTCTTCCTGAAGCAATGGTGTGTTACTTAGAGAACTATGAACCAGAAAAATTTTCTGAGATATTCCTTGGAGAATTTGACACCCCAGAAGCAATTTGGAGCAATGAAATGAGGTAATTGTTTTCTGTCAGAGGGACAAATAAATCTGAAGTACATCTTATGCTGAAGAGGTCTTGCCTTTGACATTTCTAAAGAATGCCAAAAATACTTGGATTCCATGGGCTCATTTTTCCCTCCTGTTTACCTTCTGCAAGGGCAATGTCCTGCATTGCCCTTTGCTTCTATCAGAAATAACAGGGGTGGGGAGGAGCAGAATTGGCAGTGGGAAGTGGAATATTTCCCTTAACATCTGACAGTGTGCTTTACATCTGCCTCTATCCTACTTGATTAAGTTCCTTTCTTGAGTGGAGACTCCACTATTTCTGTGGACTGCTTTATACTTGCTGTACTCATTTATTGCCAGCACCTATCTAGGAGATACTACAATATATTTTTAGAGTTTTCAAAAAGTAAAGAGGTGTTGAGGGAGGACAAAATGTCAGTTTACGTTGTTTTTAATAAACTCAATTTTCATGGAATTGAAGTAGCTTTATAACAGATCAGGA